CAGCACGCGGGCGAAGCGGACGTGGCTGTTGGGTCCCCTCCCTGCCGCTATGATGCATTCGAGCTGGAAAGCCCCTTGCTGATGCATTGGGGTGGGACTGATCCTGGCCCAGGTGCTCGCCCCGGCGTTGCCACCCAGTGGCAGTGTGACCTTGGGTCCCTCGCGCTGTCTCCTTTCTCCCTCCTGCCTTTCATCCGTCAGGTCTGCGTGCATGAGGAGGGTTTGTCGGCACTTGACAGCCAGGGCAGACGCGAACGTGCGGTGTAGAGCCGTCCACCGTGACCTCCCCGAGGGGATGCTCCGGCTCCAGGAGTGTGACGCACGGGCTTGCTTGCTCCGGGTCACTCGTGGGTGGATGAAGCCGGGAGAGCTGTGGAGGGGGGGTCTGTCTCTGGCCCGTGGGCACAGCCTCTGGGCCCCTGCTCCCATAGGGGCTCTAATACAATGAATAGAGGGAGGGTACGGTCGTGCTTGGGCCTCTGAGAGGTCCTAGGACATTTCTAGCACGTCCCCTTCCCTGCTGCAAGGATCAACGTGCACGAGTCGAGAGTCTGGTCTGGCTCCTTGTTCCTGAGAGCCCCCGAGGCACTGTGAGAGCCGCCACGCTGGGTCTGGCCACGGGTCCACCCAGCCGGGGGCAGAAAAAGTCCTGCCTCTGTGTCCCCATCTGGGTAACGCTGCAGACCTAAGCAAGCCATGCAATGGCATGCATGGCAATGCAGAGGGACACGCGGATCCTGAGCGTGCCCAACACTGAGGCACTTGAACAACCCCCTGGCCTCGAATCTGGAGCCTCGTGGCCTTCCTTTCTCTCTCCCGCTTTGCTTCCCGGTGAAGGCAGAAGGTGCAAGGCGGCTGGCTGGGCCCGCACTATTTTTGTCCCCCTGTGTCGGGGAACGGTCGCCTTTTATCAGCGCCTGTGTGTTTTCTCTGCTGGGGATTGATACACAGAAGATGGAGTGCTCTGACATGGAAAGTGTCAGGCGAGCGGGCTTATCTCGGAGACATGGTCTCCTGACCCCAACGCAGCTGATTAGCCAGCGAGACATGGGCAGGGCTGGGGAGCTGCGGGAAGAAGGGGGGCAGGGAGCAGTTGGGCACCAAATTAGCTTGTTTCCCAAACTGCTGCATAACCCCCGGGGCTGTCGGAGCCTCCCGGGTGTCACTCGTTTCCCCTGAGGTTTCCTCTGGGAGGAAGAGCCCTCGGGAGAGACGCATGCAGGGAGCTGGGCTCTCTCCCGCCGGGCCGCTCCACCCTGGAAAGGACGGGACAGGCTTATCAGCCCCCGGGTTCCTGTTTGCTGCTGCGTGAAGCCAAAGGCAAACTCCCTGGGCCGAGCCGGGGTCCTCGCCGGCATCCAGATGGGCGGGCCAGAGCTTTCCCTGGAGGGTGCCAGGGTTCGTCCCTGTAGCTCCAAGTCAGGACGCCAGAGTTTGGGGTTTGAGCCCTGCTGTCTGTGCACCGAGTCATAGAAAAAGAGGGTTGGGAGGTCACCTCTAGTCCAGCCCCCTGCTCAAAGCAGGACCAGCCCCAACTCCATCATCCCAGCCAAGCGGGGTCTTAAAAACCTCCAAGGATGGAGACTCCCCAACCTCTCTGGGTAACCCGTCCTAGCTTCACCACCCTCCTAGTGAAAGTGTTCCCTAGTATCTAACCTCAACTTTCCTTGCTGCAGCTTGAGCCCATTGCTCCTTCTGCCACCTGCCATGGTTATGAACAGTCCAGCTCCAGCAGGGCAGAGTCCCTTAAAGGGATCTCGCTCCAACCGCAAAGGAGCGAGTTCAAGCCCCTCTCCAGATACCTGGGTCCTCTCTGTGTGCAAGAGGCATCTCCTCCGAGGAGCAGCGGGGGTGGGGGCATTTGGGAGCGTAGCCACATGGATGGGTCCTGGGCCAAAGGGAGCTGGACACCCATGTGGTGTCCAGGCCCTTCAGCCAGTCTGGCCCACAGAGCTCGAGGGGTCACACTAGGGTGCTTCTGTGACCCCCTGTGCATCGAAGTTGCACGGTGGCTATTCCCATCCTTACAGCCAGGTTGGTCTCCGAGTGTGACACCCCTAAAGTACACACCGATGCTCCTAGGAGGCTGGTGGGAGCTCTTCCCTAGAGCTAGTGCCCTTCGAGGGGCTGGAGGAAGCAAGGCTGTCATCCTCCTGAGCCCAGGGGACCCGGGGGATCGCAGACATGCCTGCCCTCCATCTGTTCCACTCCCTGCTGCCTTATCCTTGCTGCATCTCTGATTATCAATGACATTTGCACAGCCGCCTCCCTGCTCCCACGCTGCGCGGGATGTGCCTCCAAAGTCCTCGAAGGACACGGGGCTGGAGGTCCCACAGTCCAGCCCCACCACCAGCATATGAGCCTACCCTGTTCCTGGCAGGTGCCTGTCTGATCTGCTTTTGCAAACCCCTGAATCCACCCCTCCCTGGGTACCGGATCCCTGTATCCCAGGGCTTAGCGGTCAGCGGCTGGTGCAGGAGGTGGAGCTGGGAAGGAGGGAAGTTCTCAGCTGCTCTTACCTAAAAGCTCATTCATTCATTCAGGAATCAGGACTCGTGGTAGAGGTGATATCTTTTATTAGACCAACTGGCTTTTTGCAAAAAAAATTCTTTAAAGAAAATTTAAAGGAATTTTTTTGCAAAAATCGAGTTGGGCTAATAAAAGATATCACCTCTACCACGAGTCCTGATTCCTTTTGCCTCTAGACCAATACGGCTACAGCCTGAATCCCTTCCTTCATTCATTCATTCATTCATTCATTGGCTGGACCTGCCCGATAGGGCTGTTGCCCAACAGGGGCACGATGCCAGGGCGAGAGGATTGGATGGCGGAGCATGCCGTGTGTGTGTGTGTTTACATGTGTGTGTGCATGTGCACACATGCCAATCAGGTATTGCCATGTGCATCAAACCAGTTAGGCATGGACCAGGTGAAATGCAGGTGCTATTTGCATATGCCAATGGGCATGTACCAAGGGGTGGGCATGATTGCATGCCCTTACCTTTGATATTGGAACTGCCTTTGTCTGTGGGGTATCTTAGCTTTTCTTCTTCAGGCGTGAGCCAGCAGGTAGCTCCAGGTGTGAGTCTCTGCTTCAGGGGAGACAAGTCTGCTGCTGCTACCAGCTAGCGGAGCTGTTCCTTCAGCTCGAGCAATGGAGCTTTATGCATCAACCTCTAACGGGTCTGGTTTCTCGCCTAGCTGACAGCCCAGTCAGAGAGGTCATTTCTCCCTGGGAGAAGGAAGGGTGCAGTTCTGTGCGTTGCTTTGACTCCTTCAGATCCCAGTATCCCCTATAAGTGGGAGCCCTGTTCTGGTCCTTGGGGTTCAAGCCTCTTTGACCTCATACAATACAGCCAGGCTGTTGCATCCAGTGATGGTTTGGGGCACACGACTTTCCCACTGCCCCTGGCCCGGTTCAGTATTTGGAGCCGGTGAGCATTTGAATTTCAGGAGTGGTCAGGCATCCATGGAGGGATCTGGGCGCAGGTGTCTCCCTGAAGCATCCCCCTGCAGAGAAGCCGGATTCATCCCATCCCTGCCAGCCTCTTTTTCCAGCACTGGGAGCCTCCATTTAGCCTCCATTTGAGTATTGGTTAGCTGCCATCTTATCTGCACGCCGAAAGACAAAGGCGCAGTTAAAACATTTTCGAGCAGCCTTCAGCGTGTATTTACATGTTATCTCACCCATTAAACCCAGAAGCTTATCAGATAATCAAGGCCATTAAGCCCGAAAGCTGCCTCTGACTTAGGGTTCTGGGAAGCAAAGTGGATCCTCGCGTCTCCCTGCCCTAACCCCTGCAAACTCCAGCTGCCTGGAGAGATCCCCAGGGGGAAAGGATCCTCCAGCCCCAAACGGAGCAAGCCTGTGAGATGCTTTAGGCTGGGGAAGTGAAGCCGCAGGTGGGATTTGCTAAAGCACTGGTACCCGATCTCCCAGCCCTGCTCGGGGTCAGTCCCCCTAGGTCAGCCCAAGCCAATTGGGCTTGGAGCGGGACTGGATGGGTTGTACCGAGCCCATCCCAGCCCGGTTTCCCCCCTGTCATCCCCAGTGCGGCCCGACCTAGGTGCTGGGCTCCTTGTTGTATGGGGAACTGCGTCGTTCTCCCAGTGCAGCGCTGACACGCCTGGGACAGCGCTGCCATATCTCCACGTAGCCTGAGCTTTTCTCCAGCTTGGGGAAAAGCTTACCCCGGTGTCTTGACAGGCAAGGCCCTTTGGATGCAGCTGGGCCTCTGCTGCTTTGTGCCCTTATGGCTCGGGCTGAGCTGTTGCAGGAAAGGAGGGCGTCACCAGGTGTAACCGCCGTGTGCACGCTGTTATCCCAGGACAAAGGGGAGTTAAACTGAGATTGCTTGCTTCTTTTGCTAGTGGTACGGGCACCTCCATCCCATGGGCTCTGCTTTCCTGGGGGTGCATCTCTCTGCCCTACTCCATCAGGAGGGCACTGTGATGTCTGTCGCACGTGTGACCTTTCCCGATGTCCTCATCAGTGGCCAAGGTCATCCCCATCCCAGCTGCCCCATCTTAAAGGACCAAGTGCAGCCAAGACCCAGACATGATTTCCTTCCCTTCCCCGTCTACAGCAAGCTGCTGCTGTTGGGCTTATAACACTTGTGGGTTCGGTAGCTATGGATTTGTGCTCAGCCTGTTCCCTTCCCATCTAGGATGCTTTCCTCTGGGAACATCCAGGGGGATTTGGAAATGAAAGACCTGGCTGAGCAGGGTGGAAAGGGGCAATGGTTCTGCTTAGCAAGGGACCAGCCAGCCACGAGCCTTCTCCGAACACGATTCCTGCTTCCCACGAAGATGCGAGTCCCAGGAGAGGGTGTAGATGCAGATCCCGTGCATAGAGGTTGGGTTTGGTATCTGGGCCAGGAGACCCGCCGTGCTAGCTGGGCCGTACGTCTGAGCAGGATGCTGCATCCAGGGAAGGGGGGTGAAGAGCGTGGGAGGATCAGCCAGCCCCTCTCTCACTGCCCCTTGTCCTCTCTCCCCAGATGAGCTGGAGCTGGTCGAGCCGGAGGGGGAGAGCCGCATCCATGCCCGGCAGAGCCTACCTGCGGGGCTGTGCTGGGGGCCGTACCACGGGAACATCCATGGCGAGCCGGCGTCTCCGGAGCAGAACGAGACAGTAAGGACCCCCTCCTCTCGCAACATTTGGGCGCCAGCCCCCCCAGCCTTGGCCTTGCCTGCCGAGCCCTTGACTCCCCAGCCCCCTGCTTGGGGGGCACGATGTCTGCCCCTCCCGCAAGAGCATCGCACCTCTCAGCCCCACTGGGTCGAGACGAGGACCACGCATGGCCTTCTCCCAGCTGGCCTCTTGCCCGATGCTGTATTCCTCTGCAGACACGCAGGCAGCATCCCTCTGCATTGAGACTGAAGGTGAAGAGGTTTTATGCAAATGACTGGCTGCCCCGATTTGCATATGTGTGTATGCACGGATTTGTTAATGCGTCGGCCGGGGTCCTGATCGCCTGCGCTGCCGTACCCGCAGCGGGAGGCTGGGATCTCCGGGCAGACACGGGCATGACCTGCATTGTCAATGGGCAGTGCGGGGTGGACAGCAGCTCTGAGCAGGGGAGCCCTCCCTTGTGTCCTGCTCCTTTTGCAAAAGCCCGCTGCATTTCCCCTCCGTGGAAAGGCCCCAGCACCACCGGGGAGCGTGGTCCGGCTCCTGGGAGCTGATTGCTTCCCTCCTCTGCTTGGGGATGCCTTCCAGGAGAGAAGGGGGATGGGGGCAGTGTCAGAGCCGGAGGAGGGAGGATGTATGAGCAACGTGGGATAAAAAGAGGGCTGCCATGTGCCCACCGCTGCCCAGGGTAGCAGGGAGGGGGCTAGCTGTGTCGCCAGGAGCACGGAGGGCAGCTCAGCCCTCCCTGAAGGAGTTATAAAGTGCCAGGCTTTTGCAAGGGCAGGCACATGGGCGCTGCTGGAGTCCAGCTCGGGTTCAAGGTGCAGGGCAGGAATCCTCCTCCTGGCAGGACGCAGCGGGCAGAGCCTGGTTGGGCCCCGAAGGAGGTTTGGGGGCTGCTTAGGCTGGGCCCTGGGTGCATCTCGCTCCTATGCTCCCCTCCTTTCCCCCCAAGCCCTGCGCCTGGCTGCAATTCGATGCAAAAGCACATTGCAGCTCCCTAGGGCTGCACCACAACAGCCAGTGCTGCGTCCAGCTCCTGCCGCTGGGACATGCACCGCCCTCTCTCGTGTGCCCTACCAGGGGACATCTGGACCCGCCACAAAGAGGAGAGGTGGGCATGGGCAGGGCAGCCTCCGGATCCGGTCTGCCACGGGGCAATGGGCACCGGTGCATGGAAAGCTTCTCTGTAGGCTTTCTGCATGTCCACTGCGGCTGCCTTCAGCAGAGCCACTGGGCAGGGGGACCCTCCCAGTCTGGGGTCTGGAGCCTTTGGGGTCGGGATAAGCTTCGTGTGTGTGTGTGTGTGTGTGTGTGTGTGTGTGTGTGTGTGTGTGTGAGAGAGAGAGAGAGAAAGCTTTATGGGTGTGCATGTGTAAGAGAGTCTCATGGGAGGTGGGTGTGGGAGAGCTTCGTGGTTGGATGGATGGGTGTGTGTGTGTGAGTTTTATGGGGGTGTGTGAGAGAGAGCACTTCATGGGGGTGAGCTTCATGGATGTGCATGTGTGTTTTGTGGGAGGTGGGCGTGTGGGAGCTTCATGAATGGGTGTGTGAGAGAGAGAACGTTTCATGGCTCTGCGTGTGTGTGTGTGTGTGTGTGTGTGTGTGTATGAGAGCTTCATGGGTGTAGGGGTGTGTGTGTGCGAGTGGTTGTCAGCTTCAGTGGTACGTGCAAGAGCTTCATGGGTGTGTTGTGTGTAACTGCATATATGTGTTAGCTTAGTGAGGGGTGCTTCTTGAGGACTGTACTTGTGTGTGTGAATGTGGGGGGTGAGCTTCATGGAGGGGTGTGTGAGTGTGTGTCAGCTTCACTGGTGTGTGCATGTGCGAGAGCTTCATGGGTATGGTGTGTGTGTGTGCGTGCGCATGTGTGTGTTAGCTTCATGGATTGGTGGGTTTACATGCATGTGTGTGTTGGCTTCATGGAGGGTGATAGCTTCATGGAGTGTGTGCTTCCATGTGTGTGTTAGCTTCATGGAGGGGTGGGTGTACATGCATGTGTGTTGGCTTCATGGGGGGTGATAGCCTCATGGGGTGTGTACTTGCGTGTGTGTTAGCTTCATGAGTGTACGTGTGTGTGACAGTGCTTCATGGAGGGATGTGTGAGTGGGTATCAGCTTCACTGCTGTTTGCGTGTGCATGTGTAAGAGCTTCATGGGTGTGTTGTGTGCATGTGTGTGTTCACTTGGCTGGGTGGGTGTGTTAGCTTCATGGGATAGGTGATCGCTTCATGGGGTGTGTACTTCCGTGTGTGTGAACTTCATGGGGGCGGGTGTACTCACGCACACTCTATACATATAATCTTTAGTGCTTTGGAAACCCTAGAGCGGTCGGGCTGGAGGAGTCTCCAGCGGTCGTCAGTCCAGCCTCGAACCGTGGGGGGGCAGCAGGTTTGGTGCGGGGTGGAGACAAGGACCGGTGCATCCCAAGCCATCACGGACCTGTCTGGAGGCAAGCTGGGGTGCACGGGGCTGCACGTGCTCCTCTCCTCCGCGCTCTGGCCAGCCCTGGGCTGGGTCCACGTGGTGCTGCCAGGCCGAGCCGAGTTTCCCAGGCCTCGGCTGTGCATCCCCCAGGTGCAGGGTGTCGGGAAAGGAGAGCTGGAGGCAGTTCCCTTTAGGTTCTTGCAAGAGAGAGCAGGACAGAAAGTCTTGGCTCTTTCTCTCTGTCTCTTTTTTTTTCCTTAGCTCCGGCCCCGTTTATCTTTGCCGAATTAAATCCTTGATTAACCCTTATCTCCCCAGTTCGGCAGCTATCTCTCCTTTGGCGCCGTATGTCCAGACACCCGGTACAGGATGATTGATTCCTTAAAGATATGCGCGGCTTTTCTGATACTTCATTTATTGTCTAAATATTTTTGCTCCCATTTCAGCGGCTCCTTATCGAGCCGCGCTGATGGTTTCCAGCCCTGCTTTTCTCTGCCGCTCGCCTCCCGCGCTATCTCTGCCCGGAGAACTGAGGAAGGAATCGCAGCTCCATCCCTGATAGGCGCTATCGCCCTCCAGTCTATTTGCCTTTGTTGTTGGGAAGAGGAGGAGGAAGAGCAAGGCCTGGCCTCCCCTGCGCGCCAGGAGGATGCAGGGGGAGGCTGCCATCCTGGCAGGGATGGGGCCTGGGACCCACGGCCCTCGCCAAGGACAAGGAGGGTCTGGCTGTACCTCTCACTCGGGTCCCAAGCTGCCTTGTCTCTTCATAGTCTCTGAGCCAGGAGGCCGCAGGGCTGGCCCATGGCAGGAAGAGATGGTCCTCATCTGCTGCAGAGCGAGACCGTGCCCAACAGTCATAGCCCATTGAGCCCCATCCAGCCGGGAGGCAGAGATGCCGCCAGCTGAGCACGGGGCTGGGAGTCAGGAACACCAGTGATGGCACCCCGTCTCTGCCACTGACTTGCCTGAAGGACCCGAATCCGCCTGCCCTGTCCCCAAGCTAGTGCATGCAAGCCCTGCAATGAGGCCTGAGCTGGGAGCATCCTGGCTTCCCAGGAGCTTTGCCAACCCCCTCATGCAAGGGCAATGCCTGGCTGGACTGGGGCACCTACCCAGCCAGGTCTGCCCCTCCAGCTGGCACAGCACCCTGCTGGCCTGTGTGCCAAGGGAGCACCGGAGTCTGCAGCCCCCCAAGCGCCCGGCAGCCCCGGGTGAAGGTTGCCGACCAGCCGCGGGGCGGTTCGCGAGCCGGGAGCGCGGGGCCAGCCCTGCCCCAGGGAGCGCGGCGCGAGCGGATGCGGTACAGATAGGGTTTCCGATGGTTATCGCGCCCGGTTCAGAGCCGAGACACTGACCTCTTTGTTACCGGGAGAACAAGGAGGGTTCTCAGAGGCGCTGGCCAGCTGGGGAGGCCGAGTCGGGCTGTGCAGGGGAGGGCACGCGAGGTTTTGCTCCGGCCCACCCCCTCCCCAGCCCAGCTGGGAGCACCCGCAGAGGCTGGGCTGAGCCTGCCGCTTTTCAGGAATGGGTGCAAGAAGGGGATGAGTCCTGCCCCCCACTCTGGGGCGATGCTGTGGCCCCCCAGGCCCTCCCACCTGTCCTGCTTTCCCATGAATTCCCACAGCAGGAGTATCCAGCGGGTCAGGGCACCAATGCCCACCTCTGCTGAGTGCAGGGAGCAGACCGGGCAGCCACTTTCTCCCACCAGCACCAGTGCTGGAGCTGGCATGGCTGGGACATGGGCCCTGCACTGGCCTTCACCACCGCTGCATGTACCCCCATGCTGCACACGGGCTGCACTTCTCCATACAGCCCACGGCTGGGAGAGCCCTGTTTCCAGCCCCCGCATCCCGACCCTGACCTTGCTATGCACAGGCTGTTGCACATTGTGGCGGGGGAGGCGTTGTGCTTTAGACCATCAGCGGGCTCCATAGGTCTTTTTGCTCCCCAAAGTTATATGCCAAAAAAGATCAGTCCTGTGCCATCAGCAAGTGTGTGTGCAAGTGCGGGTGTTTGCATTTACAAGCATGTGGGAGTGCGGGTGCCTGCGTGAAGAAGCATGTGTGAGTATGGGTGTCTGGATGTACAAGCATGTGAGAATGCATGTGTATGAGTGCAGGTGCGTGCAAAAGTCTGCAAACTTTGTATGCAAGTGTGCAGTGAACAAGCATACATGTATGGCTGTGTGTACATGCATGAGTCTGAACATGTGTGCATGTGCCTGTGAGCATGTCTGTGCGTGTGTCCACGTGTGCTTCTGTGAGGATGTGACTATGTGCCCATGTGTCTGAGTGTGCATATGGGGGGGTGTATGCGTGTGTGTCTGTGTACACTTAAGTGTGCATATGCATGCAAGTGCCTGAGCTTGTGTGCATCTGTCTGAGCATGTCTGCATGTCTGTGCATGCATGTGTGCGTGTGTTATCACGCCGGGAGCACTGTGCTCCTGGCAGCGATAAGGCCTGAACCACCCGAGCCCGTCAGGCAGAGTCAGAGGGTTTAGAGCTGTTGGGAGCCGTAATGAGATTCTCTGTCGTTCCCGCCGCCACCAGCCCAGGAGCTGGCAGATTAATATTTTTTCCCCTCTTCTGCTCATTAATATTCATTAATGGCGCAGGAAGGCAGCACAGGTCGGAGCCCAGGGCCGGGCAGCGGGATGGGGAGGGCAGCGCGGGGGCAGCTTCCAGCAGTGGTGACTGTTGCCCTGCTCGTGCCCTGCTCTCCCCTGGCAGGAGCTGCATCCACAGCATCCTTTTCCCCTTGTGCGCCTGTGCATTTACACACACATGCCTGCACTTACATTGCATTGCAGCAAGGCTGGGCAGGCATCCGGCTTGCAGTGCAACGGGACAGTGTCGGATGGGGTGGCCGAGCTACGTTGTCTCCAGCCCTGGGCGCTGCTGGGTGGGGCGGGAGCAGCCGGGAGGGGATCGTGGGTGCGAGGAGACGGGAGGGTGCTGGCTGTTCACCCCCGAGTGCAGCAGAGGCAGGGATGCGCGCTCTCCTTGCCATGACACTGCCACCCGCCAGCGCCGGGAGCATCCAGCCTGGCACCTGCTCTGCTAGCCGTGGGGGTTCATGCAGTGCAGCTCCCTTGCAGGGGGGGTGCCTGGTGTGAATGCATGTATGCCTTGTGCAGCCGATTTGGGACAGGGGTGGGCCCTGCCTGCTCTTGGCCCACCCCATCTCCCCCCATGCCAGGCACACGTGGACCCAGGCATTGCCCTGCCGCCCGCCTGCCCTCACCCTCTTCTGCTGTTGACAGAACCCACCGGTGACCCTGATCCTGGGAGATGAGCACTGCTGGCTGTCCCGCCTGCCCCTGGTGTCCACCGAGGCCGAGGCCAACGCGGTGATCTACAGGAAGGGTTGGTACCCATCTGTCAGGGCCCTTATGGGGCCAGCGTGGGTGCGAGGGACAGTGGCATCCCCTGTCTTGCCCCCAGAAACCTCCTTCCCAGGGCGGCAGTGGGTGCAGGAGGGGGCGGTGGCTGGTTTCATGAGCCTGCTCCAGCATCCTCCAGAGCCGGGAGCAGCTGATCGAAGAGCTCAGCCCAAAGCACGGGCTGACACTGCCACCTCCCGGCTGGCCCGGGGATGGGAGGCAGGGAACAGGCAGCCGCTCCGGATCTGCTGGCTCTGTGCCGCAGGTGGAGCCTCCTTCAAGGAGATGCTACAGGGTCCTCAGGACACCCATCACCAGCCCTTCGCCTGTTTCTGGAGCACGGCTGGCAGTAGGGCGCGTGTGTGCAGGCTGGGAAAGGGGGGTCCTAGCATCCAGTGCCCCCCTGATCCCCCGCCTTGCCTCCACAGATGAAGGCATCTGGTGCAAGACCACGCAGGCCGTGCGGGAGGGCGAGCCGCTGAGCGCCATCGTGATGACCGAACCGCAGGCCATCCCCAACCACACTGTGAAGCCCGAGCCCGGCGATGTCCCGTACCCGGCCACGCTGCACTCCGACATCCAACTCCTGCCCCAGCAGGCTGGCATGGCTGCCATCCTGGCCACGGCCGTCGTGAACAGTAAGACGGGGTCCTGCCTGTGCTGTGGGATCAGCCCTGGCTGCTGGCTCTGGGGAGGAGCAGGTCCTGCTTGCCAGCCGGCCTCCCCGTGCCTCAGTTTCCCCCAGGGTGGCCAAGGGTGGGGATGCCACCTGCAGCAGGAGAGGTCCTGGCTGCATCTCGCCCCCACCCCATGCTCCTCCTGTTCCCTTCTCCCAGATTGGGGCATCATCAGCACCTGCTTGAGGGTGGGGGGAGTCTATCCCA